CCCCGTTTCGTTCGATTCGATCGGGAAACGACGAGAACGTTACGACGAGCGTCGTCGTCGCGACGAACGGATCTAGTATACCGAAGGGAGCCGTGTACGCATCAGGGTCGTAGAGGACCGTGTGGAACGAACGCGAACCACATACATAAACTCCGGGCTCCGTGGCAAATCGTGGCCCGGACCCACCCCCTTTTTTTTTTATCCCAGCCCCGCTGTCCTATATTTCTTGCTACACGCCAGAATTCCTCGCTCTTTACGCTCTCCTCTTTAAGGGAGCCCGAAGCCCACACCCCCTTCTTCTGCCTCTGTCCTCCCCTTCCATCCTGCTGACCTGGTCGCCCTCATCGAACCGCTTTCTCACACACGAAAGCACCACGTAAGCCTTTCTATTAATGATTTTTACGGCCGGCCTCCGTTTCTTTTTCTTCCACGAGGAAGAAAGGACCTGGACCGGGCTGCTGCCCTTCGCGCGCGCTCAAAAACAAGAAAATCGTTAAGGGCAGACGCGCGTCCAACGAGCGAGAAAGCGAGGCTAGCGAGGAGGGGGAGAGCGGGGGGGGAGGAGGAGGAGGAGGAGGAGGAAGAGGAGGCAGAGGCAGGGACGAAGAGTAGAAAGAGGAAGAGAGGGATAAGGAGAGAAGGAGCCGGTGATTCGGTGACGTATGCATTCGGGGAAGTTGACACGGGATCGGCTAATCGCTATAATTAATTAAATAATTCCTGTAATTAGACTAGAGGGATTGCACCGCGAGGCGAAACGCGCAGCGTCGGACAAGGATAGACGTGGCAAACGGCAGGACGAGTTAGAAGGAGACGCACGACGCGCCAGAGAGGGAAGCTCTGGCAGCGTAATGACCGTTGGTCAAGAAATATCTCTGGCTTCTGCTTCCGTGAGAAGATTGTTAGGAACTGCGCGTAGGACTGCTAATTTGGACAGGTTGATGAATAGTTTGAAAAAGTGTGCCGGTTGATTATAGGATATTCCGCGTAAGTACTTGGCGTAACAGCTACGGACGATCGTGTCGATCGACAAAAGGGAATCCTTGTAATTTATACTTTCCCCTCTGCGCTTCTTCTTTTCTCCGCTTTCCATTTTAAGCAAAGCGAAACCACGTCGATGTCGCAGCTCGGTAAAACGATGCACCGACGAGCGCCGCTTACTCGCCGTTGATCAACGTTCGCGTCTTAACGTCGAACGAAAACGACGATGGAAAAAGGTTGCTGTAAACGAGGAACGGAGATTCCGCGAACTTTTCTATCGCGTTGCGGTGATAGGTTTTGCCTGTTCCCGGCTGAATAATAAAATAAGAATCGACCATGTTAGCGCGATGTAGGTCGCGGGTCACGTTGAACGCTTCTACTTCCGGTCGGGAAACGCGATAGCAATAAAATAATAGCAGTGGCGAGGGTGGCGAACCGGGTCAGCCGATATTATACGCACGGGCGACAGGAAAATTCTGGCCTACTGGGAGGAGCCAGCCACGGGAATTTGAATGCGTTTGTTTCGTAGCCGCGTTCCGAGGACGCGTTTCGAAGCGGCGTTTCGGTCGGAAGTGCAACGCAGGCATCGATTGAGATGTATTTACTTTGGAAACGCGGCTGCCCTAAGGGATCGCGGTAATTGCTATAATTAATCGCGTGATTCCTGTAATTAAAAAGATCGGAATTACTAACTGGCAAGTAACGTAGTTCCGATGCTTCCGTAATGATACAGTCGCGGGAGGATCGGTCGGACGAATCGTTCCGGCTAGATTTATTAACTGGCTCGTGAACCGTGTTGCGGCCATGCTGGAAGACCACGGCCGGTTCGACGCGTGTTTGCACAACGAGCTTTCGTTTCTTTTTCGAGCAAATCGTCGGTCAATCTGCCCCGTCATTTTTTCTCTTTCTTTTTGCCTCTTTTCGTTCGATCGATCCTGTTCCATTCGGAAAAACAACGCAGTTTACCACGAAAAAACATCTCGTTGGCGAACGACGAAAGAAAGAGAAAAACGAGAAGAAAGAACGATTAATACGAAATTAACAAGTAGGACACGGCGGCAGTAAAGGAGTAGAAAGAAAGAAAAAACAACAAAAAAAGAAAGGAAAGCGAAAATCGAACAGGCGCTGGCTGGTAACCGCGACGCGCTTTTACAGCACCGAAGGGTTTTAACTTTTTATGCCCTATCGGGACGTTAAAGTCCCATCTCTTTAAAAGCGCCATATTTCTTTTATCGACGTTTGCGAGTGGAGCGGCTTAATGACAGGACTTGTAAGTTTCGAGTCCAATAAACGTCGCCGTCGTACAACATTGACTTTCCTTTTCGTTCGTTCGTCCGAATGGCATCGACGAGTGTCCACGTGTTCGTCGTTACCGATGCGAAGCGGCAGAAAACGAAGGAACAAAGGCTACGAAAAAAACGAAGATCCGTCGTATTCGCGACGATCCTTACGACGATCGAACGCGTATAAATCGAAGGAAAGTGAATTTTACGTATCACGGTTTTATGTCGTTGCCGACTAACGCGTTACGTAATATCGGTGCGGATCGTCAAGAAGAACCGAGCGAAGATGAAAAGAAGAAACTCGACGGTCGAGATTCTTGAAGGCGCGTCGAGAGACACGCGGCTACGGAAAAACCTCTGCGCAAGATTAATCACGAGGCGTGTTCTCGAACGAGCGAGGTGACGCGTGCGCTCGTTATCCGGTTTTTCAACGCGGCCGACGAATCGAAAAGTTTTGCCCTGTTGTTCGTTGTTCGTCGTTATTCACGTGGTTTGTCGCGGCGTTCTGTTTCCAGGCGATACGGCACGAAATGCAGCGGTTGCCTCCAAGGGATAAGCCCTCAGGATCTCGTGAGGAAGGCGAGGGACAAGGTTTTCCACCTGAATTGCTTCACCTGCCTGGTATGTCGGAAGCAGATGAGCACCGGAGAGGAGCTCTACGTCCTGGACGACAACAAGTTCGTCTGCAAGCAGGACTACCTGTCGGGCAAGCCGCTGCCGGACACGCATCACGTGCACGGTCATCATGGTGAGTTACAAGTGTCATTGTCCCTCGTTATCCACCGCGAACAGAACGCAGCATCGCGAGATATTCACGATGCCGCGCTGCTTTGTTTCGTTCGTTTGCTCTGAATCCGATTTGCGGCATTGTACGATACGTACGTACGGTTGGCTCGCGGCACGTTATCGATTGTACCGTCGTTTATTCTATTCTGCGAGCTAGGGACTTTGTAGGATTTAAAACGATCGCGATTCTCCTATGGAGAGTAGGAAGTCGATGTGCCGCCACGTGCTCTGTTACAGCCTATCGCGACCGTTTTGTAATTTCTATCGCTTTTGATCGTCAGGGGGGATGCTTATCTTCGCCAACAACCGCTTCTAAGAGGCTGACCGAACTTCCAACAACTTACACCTCGATTTTTCGCCTTGTTTCCTGGCCGTAGCTCGATTCTTCCATATTATTCTTCAAGTTGATCTTATCGTTTCGAAGATTTACACACTCCACGGGGATAAACTCGTACCTTGTTCCCGTCGTTTTCGCGCGTACGAAAATAAAGCTCGATCGCAGCACGATCGAGATTCTTGATTTTCTCCTTTCTTTTTTTTCTTTTTTCGAAGAGAAAAAGGGGGCCAGAGGGATGACGACTAGTCAGGGTGGGAGCACAGTTCAACGCGTCCAACGCCCGAGATTTCACGAAGTCGAGCTCGTTCTAAAAAAGGGAGGCCGGGGGTAGGTTTTTCACGGGGGGTT